ATCTGTGATAAATACAAAAAACCCACCCCTGTGTCTTTTTTGCTTGCTCTACTAAAATGAAGGAAATTCAGAGTTAATACTGAATATTTCTTTAATAACCTTCATTTTCCTTATGTAGGCTGGGGAAGAGTGATTTTGTGTACTTTGTATGTTGTTAAGATCACTAATCGCAGAGTGCAGTGTTGAAAGATGCTGTTTTCTGTTGAGCTTTTCCTTCCATTAGTGAAAAAGAAGGACTGATAATCATGTTTAGAGTTTAACTTTTTTCTGTAAGAGTTTAGAGTTTAAAATTGTGGTGGTTTAACCCCAGCTGGCAACTAAGCCCCACACAGCCGCTCACTCACTCCTGCCTCAGCCATATTGGGGGAAGAATCGGTAGAGTAAAAGTTAGAGAAAGCTCATGGGTTGATATAAAGGCAATTTAATAGATAAAGCAAAAACTGCACACACAAGGAAAGCAAAAGCAGGGATTCATTCACTGCAGACAGGTGTTCAGCTGTGCCCAGGAGAGTGGGGCTCCGTTAGGTGTAATGATTGCCTGGAAAGATAAACGCCATCACTCCAAATGTTCCCCCCTCCTTCTTCTTCCCCCAGCTTAATACACTGGGCATGACCCCACATGGTATGGAATGTCCCTTTGATCATTTGGGGTCAGCTGCCCCAGCAGCGTTCCCCCAGCTCCTTGTGCACACCCAGCCTCCTCGCTGCTGGGGTGGGGTGAGGAGAGTTTAAAACCTGCAGTTTCTCCTTCTCATAAGTTGCTAAGCCAGCAAAAAGGATAGCAGTATTTGGTTAGGGCTAACAACAATTTTTTTTATTCCTCTTAGGCCTCATTCAGGGACTCAGTCCACAATGTCTATTCAGCATGAAATACAGAAAAAATTTTGTAAACTAGGATCAAAATTCAAGTGACTCTTTATTCCCTTATGTCTTTGGTTCTAGTATGGGGAAGTAAAAAGGGTATGGCATTAATGCTTTACTGCTGCTGACAAAATACTTCCTTTTTAAAAGAAAGTTTCTATGAACCTGATTTGACAGGAGGATTCTGAAATGTGTATCCCAGCATCAGGAAATGGTAGTTTGAAACTAATTTTTGGAAAGTTTCAGGAAGGTCTCTTGCAGTAGTATCCCAAGTTATCTGGGGCTTTAGGTTGCCCCCCACTAAGCATGATGACTTCCTGAGGCACATAACTCCTCCCAAGAACCATAATGTAAGGAAAGGCTTCATCATAGCTCAGACTTCCAAATTCCATGCTAAGGAAGAGAAGTTGAAGTCTCACCATAGTTCTCCCCTGCATGCTTATTTGATCCAAATGCACACATTTTTATAAAAAATAAATTAATACACTGAATGTTTGAGGACAGTATTTTTTTAAACACCCAATATTTCCATGGAAAGACCATTCAAGGTTTGGCTGAGTCAACCAGGAAGCTTCACCCTGGGAAGGAAAAAAGGACACTTTGTGAGACTATGATACAACAAACTCAAAAAGTGGCAAGGGAAGATAGGCTGGGGATTGATTATTCACTGTCTAGTAGCAGGCATCATAAAAAAGTGGAAGGAGTCATGCTCAAAACAGAAGACGTGGTTGTCGTGCAACAAGCAACTGACCTTTGAAACTTCTTGCCAAAGGATGTTATAGATAATAAAAAATATATATAAATAAATACAAATTTTCATAGACTCAGGGTCAGACTGGACAAACATATGAAAGAGAGATCCGATGATGGCAGTGGTGATGGGGTTGTCAATATATGTGCAAAGTCATATCTGCTTCAGGAATTTCCCTGAGATGAAAATAACGGTAGATTAAGAATGTAGTAGGGGAGATGCATGTTCTTCCTTCAGGATTTATTTACAGTGACTTCTGAAACAGAATATGGAGCTGCATAAAACTTTAGTTTGCTCTAGTGTGAATGTTTTCATCTCCGCTCTTTTTGGATATCTTAAGATTGACAGAGAGGTAGATTTTCAGATGTGCAGGTCATGGAATCAGTTGGAATTTGGAATCAAACACTGGACATTAATGTTCAGAATGTCAAGACGTCAGTATTTCAGTTTTAAAACATTGGCTGAGTACCTATAATTGCTAAAGTGAGTGATCACATTTAAAAATTTGAGGGTATAGTCAAGACTTAGATCAAATTGAGACCAGGGAAGAAATTCTCAGTTTATTTTTTCTCTATCTGACCACCATTACTTTTGTAAATGTAATAATGAAATGTGAACACAATATATAATTAACATTATTTTTATTTCCCCCTATGTTTTAAAAGAGGATGAAGCTATGTCCTGTTCTAAAATTGTTCTAAAAATCTGATTGAACGTGGCAGAGGTTATCTTCAGCTAAATAAATGCTTTAAAATTTGGAATAAATGTATATAGGTCAGAGTGACATGCTTTATAGTTTTGGAAGAGGATACTTGAAAGAAGAAAAAAAATATACTCTCTTGACCCAATCACTTCCTTGGCTGCTTGGTGGGCATCCAGAGTACATTGCTTTGTTGAAACAATTTGTTTATCAGTTTATTTATATGTCAGGCACATTTTTGACATGACATTGTAAAAATTATTATAATATCTGAAAAAGGGAAATCATCACACAATGATAACCAAAAGCATGAATGTCAGAGCTGCTTACTGACATGGCTAGGACTTCTCATCTAAATGTCAATAAGGGATGCATAGTCCACAATTCTACAAAGAGGTACTGTGAAGCTCAATTACTTGGGTAATGTGAATGTATCATTCAAAGTTTAAGAAATGCAGATTTTTGGATGTGTTGAAGTATGTGTTTCAGGTCACTGTATCAGTCTTCCAGCATGGAATTTTTGAGGAATAGCTGAGTTTACTTAATATTCAAAAGAAATATAAAACCTGAGTTAGAGACTTGCATGCTGGCAGTAGCTCAGCTCATATCAGTGGCCTTGTATCAGTGTAAAAACATATGTGAGAACAGAATCATGCCCTTGATATGTACTGCGTGCTCAAACCAAAGAGTGAGAGGAGAGGAACACGTTTATATTACCAAAGGGCAAAATATTTTGTGAAAACGTGAGGTATTAATGTAGAGAGCTGCAGGTGGCTGTCATCATTCTGAAGAGACGCATTTTGACTACACTATCCAAAATATGAGAGATTGCAAGAAAAGGAGTTCCCAAATTGTCAGGGTCCAGAAAAGAGTATTAGAAGGGAGGGTATTTTATTGTTGTTTTGGGGTTTTTTGAAGATGAAAAATTATGTTTGGATGAGTGAATGAAATTGCAGAAATGCACTAATTTATATAGCTATCTACCCCTGGATCAAAAAATGACAATAAATAAAGGGAATTAATCCCAATACAGAATATAGCAACTATACTAAATGTATTATATCTACTGCTAAGAGTCATAGGTTTTTGTGTTTCATAAATTCTGGCAACATTCTTGGTCTTCTCCTGCAAATAATGGTTGATTGCACTGAAATATTTTTTCCCCTCTATTTCTCCCTTTCTTTCCCTCTTGCACTTTTCTTCCTTCCTTCCTGTATGCGCATTTGAATCTCTTATTTCACCATTGTTAATCAGTGGATCCTAGACCTTCTACTGAAGTTATATAACTAAAAATTGCTGGTGAATGATTTATTGTTCTGTTCTGGATGAACACTGCTGACTGTTATCACAGTAAATGTAAGTGGTGTCACTGAAGTCAGCAGATCTATGCTGAATTAATCAGTATGGATTCTGATCCTAAGAGTCATAATTGATAAAGTCGCATGTCTGCTTGCAACAAATTCCTGAAAGGATGGCTCAGTACAGGTTCCTTCAAACTGACTTAACTGTACATTTTGTTTGCTTTAGAGGGTGTCAGGTTCAGACAGAACAACTCAGATTCAAAATTTACTCGGTCTTGCTCTCTGTGACATGATAGCTTACCAGGGTTAGAATTTAAATTTAATGACATTTTGAATTTCCAGTGTATAGATATCTGATTGATTATCTGATCTCCTATCTCAGATTTTCCAGTGGTACCTGTACCACAACATGACCTTTTTCACTGGCAAGTGCATCTTATTTATTGATTTACTGCCTGAGTGTATACGTATGATTTCCTAATATAGGTGTCTATGAAGAGAGTATAAGATTTTTGAATCTGCACGAGCATTTTTTAGCTCTTACAAGCTCATACCTTAGCTACTCATGAATACATGGGCTTTTGTGCATAAGGAAGTCAACATTCGTATATGTATAGGAATGCATATAATGCCTGTATGTCATGTATAAATACATGTAGGCAAGTGAATTCTTGTTTTCTATGTCAGGAAGAAATTGGGTTGTGAATGTCTGTATCTCATGAGAACATGAAATCAGAGGCTATACACTGATATAAAAAAACTTATTTATAATATTGTTCTTCATAAACTTTATTTCTTAGTATGGAATTTTTGTCTGAGCCTTATTTTTTGTGCATCATACTTAGGCTTTTAAAAATAAGTAGGTTACCATGCAAAAAGGAAGCCAACAAATGTAGATAGTTTCAAACACTACACCGTGCTGTATGTTCAAAAGTGACATGGAGTTGAAAAAAATCAGTAGCCTGTTTTCTGTAAAATGCTTAGATAGGATAATATTTCTATTTTTTACCCATTTAAATATGTGAAAAGGACTGAGAAATATATAATGATGAAACTACTAAAACATGATATTCAAATACACTGACAAGAAGCTGTTCTAATCTCTTCCTTTCTTTTATATGCCTCTACTGGCTTCTTCTCTCAGTGTATTTCATACAATCCTTTCATCCCATTTACAGAGCCTTGCCTAATCTTTTCTCTTATAGAGTTCTTTCACTCATTTTCCACTCTCAACCATGTATTTCTTCTCTTCCATGTATTCAGCATTTCTTCTCATGCTTCTATTCCTCCTGTGGTACTGGCTTCTCATAAGCATCTCTATTGTTAGAATATCTTCCATGTTCTAATTTTACACTCTATTATTTCTCCTTGAATTCTATTCTCACAGTATTGTTTCAGCTTTGTGGAAATACAGATAGAAGATGAAGGATTTTGTTTGTTTAAACGGTAACTTTCTTAAGTTACCTGAAGATATCTGACAGTGAAGAACAAGATTCCTTCCTTGACTGTTTCTACAAGATGTGAGTATTTCTCAGTCCCTTTCTCCCAGTATTCCTCAGAAAACTGGCCCATCAATGGGATATATATCAGAAATAATCTACCCAATTTTGGGCAGATTGCTAAAACACAGACAGATAGAAGACGTCTTAAATGTAGATGTCCATACCTGGGCTGCTCAGTCTCCTGGTACGATCAACAAATAGAAACAGCTGATTCTATAATATTTTTCATTTAGTCTTGCTGTAGATCTCAGAAATAAGTTAGATGATTCACATGCTGATAGCTGCTCTTTTCCCTGTTCAGATGTAAATGTCTGAAATTATGTGAAATTAATCTTGTTTCTGCTGTCTCTTACAGTAGATAGTGGGGTGATAAAAGTAATTCTCTGTTTGGCTCCCCAGTTTCTTTGGGTATCCTCTTCCCTATGTGTCTTTTTGTTTATAATTTGAAAGGAAGTCATACCTTTTATACAATTTCTCTGCTAGAGACCTGACATTTGTAACAAGACATACTTAAGTTGTGCCTTTGAGCCTGTTGAAGAAGGTCTCTGATGCGAGATCCAGTCCTGTCAGTCTGTGAGAGAGGAAAAATCCTCCCAAGACCTAGTAAGCCATCAGAAAAATGTCCACATCTGTCTCCATATCTTGTCCTTTTAACAGCATCGTTTTCCTGACCCTGTTTCCATCTTCTCTTTCCACCCTGTATCTCTTGGTGTTTCCAGTGGCCCCACACCAGGCTGGGGTAGGACATCACTGCAGCAGTTGGGTCATGCTCCTGTGCCCTCCTGCAAAATGCTGAGTGTGTGAGGGCAGGCTGAGTGCTCTGACTCCTCCTGCTTCATGCTTCATGCCTGGCAGAAACCCCAGGGAATGCTGAAGCTCAGGCAGAATCTCTGTTGCTGCAGTGATTGCAACCCCCTTCCTCCAGCAAGGCAATGGTATGTGGCTGAAAACCTCCACCCAGTCCCTGTAGGTAGCTGCTGTCAGCCATAGGCTTGACACAGTATAGGCAAGCCCAGCCTGTGCTTTGGATCCTCCATGCCTGGAAACAATCTGCCACTGTTGCTCTGCCCATAAATTACCAAAAATGAAAAGTATGAATGACTGATCATTTGATCACATGCCTGTGAAGAGGAGTTTCTTATGATTTGAGGTGAGTCTTTACGAATACTCCTGAATTCAGGAGGTATGTGGACACCTCTAGTCAGGAAACCACATACCTTGTTCATGTGAAGTGTTCTGATACCTACCCTCCCAAATGTTGCTGGAGAAGGACTTCCAGGAGTCAATGTCTGTTTTTTTCCTGCTGGACTATTAAAAAACTTGATGATATTCTGAGTTCACTCTCTTCTCTCTGCTTGTCTTAATTAATGCAGCACTCTTCTATCTTTCCTTTCTTTGAGTTACTGTCTTCCAACATGTCTTAACAAGTTTCTTTTAAGGTATGAACCCTTTGAGGCCAGGGACATGTCTTGTTAAAATTTGAGAAGTGGTGTAGAAGCAATTTTTACCATGCTAGAATAAAATTTAAAAAAATTCATGAGATGTAATAAAACTCTGCATTCACATACATAGTCACAGTTGGAAACGTCCGTTTGAGAGCAGAACAAACTGATACTTGCAGAATAAGGGGCATAGACTGCAAAGGTCTGTTCTGCTAACTACACAGTTTATAATTAGTAATAATCTGCATACTTTATATGTAACTTACAGAAAGGAGAAAATTCACCCTAAATTTTTTGTTTAGTTGGTTGGTTTGTTTTTGTTTAAAAAGTTTAGTTTATAATACAATAATGAGTACTGGTATAAATGGTGTATTGATTAATTAACACTTTGTGATTTGAAATTTGCACATTTTTCTTCAATCTGATCTTTATTCTACAAAACTCCATTGAGCAATTAACTTTAATATAGTAACTGCTACTAAGCACTTAGAAATAAGGATGTAGGTGGCGTGTCTTGTGAGGTGCCAACTGGCATTAATTATGAGGTTGAACTTTCGCACTAAAGTCCTACTACCTCGGTGATTTTAATATAGAAGCCATGTCCCTTATGAAAACATATTTTTAAAAATGTTCATAGATATTGTTCTTCCTGTTGTATTTTTGGACACAGGATGCTAATTAGAAAACTTTAAAATTGTACTTGTTGCAAAGAAAAAGGAATAGAGGTGCTTCATACATAAGAAATCTCAACTGTTTCTATAGGCTCAAAATTAAAATAATTGTAAAGCTCAGTTATTAATCACATACATTTATTAACAATAAAATTGCTAATACTTCTATTACTCAGCCATTTGATGAAGCAGAGGAGGGATTAGGTGCTCATGCACTTTGTTGCTTTAAAGAATGTTATAGTGTGCTCCAGTACACTTAAGTTCAATTTTTCATGAAGTATTTATTTTTGCCAGACTAGATTTTAATACATGTATCATAAAACCATAGAATAGTTAGGGTTTTATAGGACCTTAAAGATCATCTAGTTCCAACCCGTCTACCATGGGTATGGAACCTTCCATTAGACCAGTTTGCACAGAGCCCCATCCAGCCTGGCCTTGAACACTTCCAGGTATGGGGAATTCACAGCATTCTCTAGTAAACGGTTCCAGTGCCTCACCACCCTGGGTAAAGAATTTCTTTCTTATATCTAATCTAAATCTGTGTTCCTTCAGCTTAAGGCCATTACCCCTCGTCCTATCACATGTGCTTGTGGAAAGTTCCTCTCCAATGCCCTTGTAAGCCCCCTTTAGGTACTGAAAGGCTATTCTAAGGTCTCCCCAGAGTCTTTTCTCCAGGGTGAACAACCCAACTCTCTCAGTCTTTCTTCATAGAAAAGGTGTTCCAGCTCTGTCATCAACTTAGTGGCTCTCCTCTGGATTCTTTCCAACAGGTTAACATCTTTCTTTGTCATGTTAAAGGAAAGCATTTTCCACAGTTTTATATTAACTTATTGCTTTGTAAGTTGAAGCACTTGCTCACTTGCTATTTATTCCAGCTGGTTGGTAGTAAGGTAAAAATAAATGTAAAATCTGAGTTTGGAATAAAGAGAGGGCAGTGGAACATACACAGTTTTTATATGTTTCTTGACAAATCAGATGGAGAAATAAGTCAAGAGAGAAATGATCATGATTGCCTGAAATGGGAAGGGAAATGGAGTAGTTAAAAAAATATTTCACCTAAGATTTATTTTTCTCCCAATAACATTTTGCCCTTGAGAAGAGAACGTTGTGCATTCAGCTCATGCCACAAAATTCAAAGGTATTGTCCTTCACTGGTTGATTGGACAGTCACTGCTTGACTAAGCCATTTGTTTGACAATGGACAAACAAATTGTTGACCATTGGACTAACGGAGTTCCTGTAGTAAAAGGCATACAAGGCAAAACAGCACAGGTATCTTTAATCAGAAATACAAGTAAGGAAATTGCTGTAGTGTGTTTTACAATAACAGTTTATAATGCCCCAATGAAGACACAAACTTTTTAAAGAATTGAGTCTACTTATTTAAATTGTCTGGAAAGCACTGGATTAGCATTCTTGGCAACTACTTATGTTTACCCTACTCTGGTCATGGAAGTGTTTGACTCCTTAAGTATTCCTTGCAGATGCAAATGCACTGTCATATTACAGTGTTCCTCTCTTTAGCATTTTCAAATGCAGTGTCAAAGATATGAGTGTAGGGAATATGTACAGGGAAAAGAAGACTCTTAGAAAATTGTGCAAGAGCAGGATTTTGGCCACTGTACTGTAGGACCCCCCCTCTTTCCCTTCCCACTCAACAAAGCATCCAGGCCATCTTCCGGGACAACAGCCAGGTTCCTCTTCCAGACTTTTCTGCCCTGGATGCTTTTATTGTTTATGTTTCTATAGCATGGAGGAAAAAATTGAAAGGCTTTGCCTCAACTCTATGTGTCTTCCATCTAACATGACTCTAAGGAATGGGAACTGACAAGAATTGGTTTTGGACTCAAGAATATCACAGTTAGTCTGAAACCACCTGTATCGACCTAGTCAGTAGGTAACCAAGATGTTTGTGGATTGCATTCTGTCTCGAGTACACATCTGAGACACACACTTTTGCAGAATTGACTTAGACCAATATCAAAGTGAATTGCTGAGAGGCCCAGCCCTATGATGAGTGAGGAGCTAACTTACAGGCTACAATGTGAGGTAAGAACCACAAATACAGGAAAAGAACTTTAAACACAAGGGAAGGACTTTTTTGTTTGCTTGTGTTTCTTTCCTTAAAGAAAGTAGGCTGCCCTCTGCAGTTTTCTTTTTGTGTAAAAACCTGAATGGACAAATCTTGCCTTGATTTGCAGCATTACCTTGAGGAGCAGATTGGTTATGACATTCTCTTGTTGATTCTCTATAAGTGTAGGACCATATGCTATGGTTACAGATTAATTCAAGGGATTTCAAGCAAGAAGCCTGTCCCTTGATTATGCTGACTTTCTTTCAATCTTTATCTTCCCTACTGACTCAGCAGTCAGTGCTCACTTAGGAGATGAAACTGGGTAGGTCAATAGAGTCCTCTGCATGATGCCTTGAGCAGCTGCTGTGAAGAAGCACAGGACACTGAGGAGCTGGAGACTAGGTCCCAGTAGCTCTTTGGCCATGAGGTCCCTGAGTGAAAACAGTGAAGGTATTTCACTGTACTATATTTCAAATCCCTTGAAAAAAAAATGTACAGATTACTGTCTCCTAAACTGACACCATGAAGGAATGCCTTCATTCAAATCTTTTGCTTCCTACATACCTAGAACTGTATGTGCACACACTTTATTCACATGACCCCAAAGAAGACTTTCTTCCTCATAATTTTTTCCTCTGCAGGGTGCATGATGTGTCTTTGGGTACCTGTAGATTGAGCAGCTTCCTAGTCATGACTCAAAGGAGATAGTGTGCCTTAGTCATTAAACATGGGAGAGTGGAAGTTGAGATGCTGTGTTCAAGAGTTCAGGTGAGATGAATCTACAGTCTGTAGATAGAGCATATCTTCAGTTTCAGATATCACCACCAA